GTTCCTGGGAAGAGGGTATCTCTGCGGGATTCCCGGGATAACTGAGGGCCTGGGGCTGGACGCAGCCAGGCAGCGGTTCTGGGTTCATGAGGAGAGCGGTATCACCGCATCGGCAATCACTTTTAATAGTTTATAGAGAGAGCTCTACTTTTTTTCCACAAAAGGTGTGGTTAGATCATGGTTTTGCTACCTTTACTCTCAGTATTCTCAGTTTCATGTGCAATGTCTTTTACTCTCCAGAATTTCCGGGAAAGGGGATATTCTTTCTTTCTTTGATTTACATAAGGCGACCGTCATAAAAAAAATCAGTAACGGCAGGAAAGGGCGGAATGCGCAGGGATGAACACACGCACCGGCTCAGGAAGGGCCAGATCCTGTCCTCCCAACCTCTCCATTCAGGGAAAAACCTTATCAAACAGGCAGGCTCCGCCCCGTGCGGGAAATACCCCGGCTCTGCCCGCAAACCCCTCTTACCACCCCCGGCACGTAATCGCTGGGTTTATCAGTTTATCAGGTGGAAAATTTGGGCTGATTTCGGCTCCTGGGATTATCAGCGAAGGCGAGGCGCAGCCTTTCACAGCCCCGCAGGATGCTCTGGGGATAACACGAGTCCCTCGCCCGCGGTCTGAAGCCCGTGTGCTATCTGCACAGCACATCTACCCTGTTTAGGTTTAACTGCGCTCCTAAAAATAAACACTCTGATAAAAATAAAGGCTTGTCCAGAGAAGCTGTGGCTGCCCCTGGCTCCCTGGCAGTGTTCAAGGCCAGGTTGGATGGGGCTTTGGGCAACCTGGGCTAGTGGAGGGTGTCCCTGCCCATGGCAGGGGTGGCACTGGGGTTCTGTGACACGCGAGGGCACGCAGCTGGCACGCAGCTGTGTCATAAACAACTACTGCTAAATAAAAAGATTGTATCTTAAATACCAGACTAGCAAAAATAATAGCAGATTCTTGCTGGAGCGCTGCACATCCGCCCCAGCGCCGCCCTGACACGTCTGGGTTCTGGTGGGGGGAGGCTGGGTCAGAGCCACGGCGTCACTTCATGACATCACCCCAAAACGGCTGCGAAAATAGGGAATTCGTCACTGCGCTCGGCAGCCTGCTCCGGCGGGTAACATCTCTGCCAGAATTCAGCATCTTAGTTCAGTTCAGGCTTTGTTGACTTTGTGTGTCGCTGTATCGTAGATCCCAATGCGTCTGTAGGTGTACTTACACCCGCTGCGCGCACCTACGCACGCTGTATATACATACGTATATACGGACGGATCTTTAAAGTGCTTATCTGCTGCGGGAATCTACGGAAACGCGAAGCCACGTTAGGTATTTTAGCGTGCAGACATTTGGGCTTTCAGACTGCTGCTACATCAAGGCCTCTATAAAATCCCCGTTTGACACAACACAATTCTCAGCTGCTTCGCCTCCTTATTGCAATATTCACTTTTACGGCTGAGGGAAGAAAACCCTCAAAGACAAGGGAGTTGGAGATCTGACAACTTCCGATACTGAGCCTTCAGACCTGCTATGAGCGGCGCAGTGACGTCTCAAAAACATTTCTTACTGGTTTTATACAGCTTTATAGCAACTCATTTCCAGGTAACGCTCGGCCTGCCGCTGCCTTAACCCCTCCAGCACCGGCAGCTTCCCGAGGACCGCGGGAGTCAGCGGATGCAGGAGAAGCACCGAGGTCGTTTTAAATGTCACGGTTCCGTTACTTTAAAGCTGGGGTTTTTTGTGGGTTTTTTGTAAGGTTTTTTTTTCCCCTGAGTAAAAGTAATGTTGTCCATTTCATGAACTGATCAGCTGTCATGTTGCATTTTATTGTGCTTGAGGACAAATATTATCGGTGTCAATAAAATCCCGTCATGACAAAGCAATCCTCGCCCACGGGAGCAAGAGATTCGGTTTGCAAGCAGCAAATTTCTGCTGTTACCCCGCCCACGGAGGCTTTCCTACCGGGAAGCACGGGGCTGTTCAAATAGCACTTTTCTTGGGAAAACCGCCCCTTCTTGGGACTCGCAGGGCGGCCGGTCCCCCCCGGGGATAATTCAGCGTGAGGTGCTCGCGCCCCAGCGCGGGCCTCTCCAACCCAAACGTTAACTATTCCACATCATAAC